CTTCCTCGTGGCCTTTCTTGCATTTCTTCCTAAGGTTGTTCTTGGGGCTCTTCAACTTCTTTGATAGAATCATTTTTTAATAATAATTCTTCAACATTATTTTGAACTTCAGCTGTATTATTTGTTTCTGGAGTTATATAAGAAGCTGCGTTATCAACAAGAAGCAGGATCTTTATACCTTGGATTCAGAAACCATTGTCAATAAATTTTAGCTATTTTTTCTAAATATCAGATCTCATCTATGCCTTTTTATTATTTCGATATGTCACTGGTAATTGTGAGATATTTATTCCGTTAAAAGATCGTGGTTTTTTAGAGATGTCAATAACTAGTAGCTGTAACTTGTCAGTGCTAGTTAAATTGGTGCAAAGCAATACTGTCACTCTTGTTTTGTCCTAAAATAAAAAATAAATATAAAAAGGAAAAAAAAAACTATTTGACTTTCTAAAACAATTTTTTTTTTTTTTTTACAATAGGGATTGGAATTGTCTAATCATATAAAAATTTTTTCATAATGTTAGGTTAAACTATCAAGAGCAAAAAATATCTTAATATTAACAGGAAGAACCGTTGATGTTACATGATTGATCCTTCACCTGATATGCAACATATAAAAAATCATTTTACAGTACCAGATTATTCTGCTAGTACATGATTATAATCCTACATTAAAATGATGTGGGATTATAATCATAACATAAACTAGCACAGAGTTGTCACTTTACTATGTCCAGTGGTTAGAAACAACTGAACTCGATTGCATTGGACTTATAAAATTACTATGTTTAGTGGTCCAATGGCACAGCATTGAACTATGTTTAGTGTGGTCCAATTGACAACTTTGTACTAGTAGAATGATCTGGTATTGTAATTTTTTTATATGTTGCATACTGAGTAAAAGGTCAGTCATATAACATCGACAGTTTTTTCTGTTCTTAATGCCAGTTGAATTAAACGATTAATGTGACTAAACAATTAAATGACTAAGAAACTTTTGGGCAGTTTCAACCAGTATATAAAATTCGAAAAAAATTTTTTTATATGCACATGTGTACAAAATTTTTTGTGCACATTTTTATAAAATTGTGCACACTTAGTGCACATTTAATGCATTTTATTATATTAATTAAAAATTTTTTGTGCACAATAATGCACATTAAATTTTAAAAATTGTGCATACCAAAAAAATTGTGTATATAAATTTTATACACTGGCTTTAATCCTATTTTACAAAGTTACTTTTTTTTGTCTACTAACTTTTTTTTTTTTAGAAAGAGTTTGATTAGGAAGTAACTGATAAAATAAAGCCATTTCATCAGCATTGTATATATTTTCTGGGCTATAATGAGAAAGAAGTTCTTGCAATTTAATTCATTCAGCAGGTAAGCTTTCTAGGGGTGCACTTGCTGCTTCGCCATGCAATATAACTTTTCTTAACCTGTTACATTTCTTAAACCTAGTGATCCATCCATTTGAAAATGTAAGTAAATCTTCAGATATATCAAATGCTTGTGCAAATTGGCAGCCTTGTTTTTTTATTAATGAGTCTGATAGAATTATTTCTTCAGATGTAATCCATTTTATCTATATGTTCATGGCGAGTTCTAACTTGGGATGCTTCACAGAATGATGACGAAAGGTTTTTTCAGCTTGTATATCCTCATCTTGAAGTTGTTAATATTCATCCGTTTTTTTTAGTATTTTTGATATTGTTAAGCGATTAATTTTCAAATCCGAATAATGTTTCATAAACTTATTGGCAATTTCATGATGTTTATAGGATGGGTTCTTTTTGTCAAAATCACAAATTTCTTTTTTTTGTTTGTCACTAACATGACAATGTGTTTTTTTAGGTACAGATTCGGGAGGCATAATATTGACAATTACTTTGATGCATACTGAAAGTTTAATAAAAATAGTGGGCTGGTAGTGTTATAGTATTTATTTATACTGACAATCTTTCTAATAAAGTTTTTAAAATTTTTAGAATTCACCAAGGTGGATCATGACAAATTTCTTTGAATTGTTGATACACTTTTTATTATTAAAAAAAAAAAAAAAGGTTAACAACTTATAATAATATGTCTATACTTTCAAAATATGGTCTTGGCGTTTGTGTTTATTTTGAACTTAAGATCAAAGTGTTGAATCATTTACACTTTTTTATCTTCGATCAACTTCATACTTGATATTCAATTGTTCAATGCATTCTTAAGAAGTATGTTCATATGTATAAAGGTGCAAATATATTATCATTGCTACCCACAATAACAAATTTTTTATTATTATGTTGTATATTGTTACTAAATTTACTTACAATCAAGGCAGGCTTTTGTAATTCAGAACCATATCTGAAGACCTAGGTCAAGGTTCAAGGATCAAATACTATGTTAATGCCTGTTGACTATCACCACTTTTCTCTAATTAAAAATTTTATGCAAATTTTATTATAAGATTTGCATAACTGTAAGGTATATTTTAAATATTAACTTTTTAGGTTCAAATTTTTTATTTTATTTTTCAGGGATAGATTAGTTCTAAAAAAAACTAAATAAGAATAAGTCTCTTGGCTGGTTCCACAGTTATTTAGTTTTTAGTCTTGGGACCAGTCCAAACTAGAATTTGAAACCGAACCCAATTTTGAATATTATACAGTATAGATGACACCTATTCTAAATCAATTGATGAGTAATACATTCTATTAGTAGTATTATCTATACTGCATAAGATCCCTAATTTTTTTTTATATAGATATCGATTCTGTTTTATTTGGTCTCTTTTATAACCTAATTCTATATTTTTTTTTTACAGATGATTCGTAAACTGTAGGACAATAGAAAAGAATGTGATGAACAAATAAATAAACTTCTGGTATTGATTGATGCTGGATATTTATTAATTCTGACTCAATAACTTTACTATTTTATTTAACTTAGATCTTTTAGATAATTTCTTTAGACCCTGAAGAAATAAAAGTGTTAGCAATGTTTCTTTACATGAATACTACTCATCTCAGTCCTCAATGTAACAATCTTAATTTTAAAGAAGGAAAAGCAATTGCTGAGGTGCTTCATAAAAACATACTCAATTCAATCATCAGAAAAATTTTTAGCTATTCCATAATTTATAAGGCAGCTGTAACAAAATTTTTATCTTTGGCCTTACTTCGCTTGGTCTTTTTTCAAACTTAGCTATTAGGACTCTGCAAGTGTTGAAATGCATCCTATTAAAACATAATGCCAGGCACAGCATGGACACTATATTTTATATAATATTACATATTCTGGCACCTGCAGAGCCCTATTAGCTATATATCCTTGTATCATAACATTTTGATCATTTTTTTATATAGTTCTCAGCATTGCTTCACTCATTATGTTTCAAAATTTTTAAAATACTGATTATAAGTAAATATTTCATATCACAGAATCATGGTTCATCGTCTCATGGATAATTTAAATTTAGAAATAACAATTTATTTGTTTAAAAAATTCGAAAGAAAAATGCACAAAGCATACTGTATTTATAAGTCAATATAAAAAGCTAATAAATAGCAAATATAAAAACTTTATAATATTTGGTTTGCATCTATTTTTTTTTCATTTTAATAAATACTGTAATCACCATGTAGCTGACTGGGTATACTACGTTCTACTGATCAAAAGTCTATATTATATCTAGGAGATACACTGCAGAGAAAGAAGATATGATAACTGAAGTATTTATACTTGTTTATAATAACTTTTATATAAATCATCAGTTAATATATCTGGGGTATCTTACATTCTGTCAAAATTTTAACCTTACAATATATTCAGGTCTAAAACAGGTAATAGTTATTGCAACATAATAACAAATAATTTGGCTATAGGTCTTCTGTACGTACATACAATGATGCCAAATATCACAAAAGTGGTTGCACAATCTAATCGTGCATAGTAAAAAGTCGATAAGTGCAAATTTATAAATTTTATTAAATCTCTATATAGTCACTTTTTATGTTTTGTAATATAACTATAACTATATAGAAAATACCTCTATATTAGTCACACCTTTTTATAATCACCATTTTTTGTATCCCAAAGGTGTAACTATAGAGAAGTTTAACTGTATCTACTATATAATATAACTATTGACTAACTAATAATTAATAATAAATATAATATAAAATACAATAATAAATAAATATATAATTACTAATACTACTATATAATATACTATGCTAAAATCTACTTTGTAATATTATAAACTAATTAGTTATAAGTTGCAAGTAAGTTTAAAGCTAGTTCTATCTTTTTCTATTTTTCTAGTATATAAAATATCGAATTCCATCTTGTTCTAATATTTATTTCAGATGTTAAGTATTTTATTTTTTTAATCTCACATAATACTTTTAAAGCATCATTAATAGGCTATAAACTTTTAATATAATTCATTAAAGATCTAATTTTTTCAATAGAATTATTAATTAGTTCAATATTTTGAACTATAACCAAGTTAAGAATATATGTAATGCATTGATAATATGCAAAAAAAAAATTTTCAAACTTCTTTTCAAGCTTTTCAGTTATTGCTTTGCCATATATTATTATTGATAAAGCATTATTAGTTGTTAATGCTAAAGTTTTTTTTGCAAGATTAAACTCATGAAGAATTCTTAAAATATTATTTGCAATATTGCATCCAGTATGCTGTACATTTATAGGAATTATATTAAGAAGGAAATTTTTTAATTTTCAAGAAGTATTAACATAGTGAATAGTAAGACTAAGGAATGTTATTTTATTTACTACTGTTTACATATTTGATGTAAATAATACTTTTTCTAAAATATTATTTGCAACTAATTTGATATTTATTTTTTTTTTATTATATAATTTTACAATATTATTTTTCAAGGTATATCTATTATGAAATTAATATTTTGGATCAAAATTTGATATCATTTCTTACTACTCCTTATTTTCTACAACACTAAATGCTTGCAAATCACATAAAACCTATTTTATAACAGATGCATCTTGTTTATACTGTTTAATTTTTGTATAAAAATTAATTAATTGATTATTTTTAGCACCTTTTAATTTAGGTACAATTATATTATATGAAGCCAGATGTTGACATAAGGTTGAGGTTGCTAATAAAGATTCAAAAACATTTTCACATTGCTTGCAAACAAATTGGCTAGGATATTTTGATGTTTCAATATCAAAATATGGCCATACAGATGATTTAAAATTTTTTGGCAATAAGGATTTATTAGAAAGTGTTTGTGTATTAGACATTGAACTTTCAATATTAACATTGTAGTTATTTTGTAGATCATCTAAATTAGTATAGTTATAATCTTTCTTACTTTGTAAATCATTAGATGATAATAAATTTTAAATATTCATTGTAATAATTTTATTGTTGAGAATTGAAAAGAAGAATGTTTATTTATTATAAAAAACACAAAAGTAATTTTCAAAATGATTAATATATTTAATAAAAAGAAAATTTTTAATTTAAAGATTATTTTATTATGCAAACATTTTTTTTTTTTTTTTTTTTTTTTTTTTTTTAATATTAAGGTGAGTACATACAATCCAGAATTTTACTGATAGTATAAGTTTGCCAGTGCCTGTACATGTACAGATGCAGAGACAATTACAGAAAGAGTGTACAACTAGCCACTTGTACAACTTTAGTTATTGTCTAATTTAAGTAGTCTGCCTAAAGGTTTTATACTAGTTGCTATACCTAGAACCTATCTGTAGATCCTTTATTTAAACATTTTGATCCTGCATCCACCACACCCTACTAGCGATTCCAGTAAACTGGTGAAGATATGCCATGATTACTAAGTCATGTTTAACTTTATACTAAATCTACCAGTGCATTCTGTATCACATACTTACAGCTCACCCAGTTATGCTTTGGCCTAAACCATCACTTGCAGTCAGAGCTAACTATTAAACTGCTTTTTACCCTTGTAAGGTTCACCCAAAACCCCAGTACTCATCTTTCTGATGTCCTCTCTATTGTCTTCTACTAACTGCTACTCAGGACCGACAGGACTCTCCAGACTTCCAATCCAGATGGCCCAATATAGTATACCTTAGTATCCTTTTCCTTTGGCTATTCTAGTGGCCTGGTTGGTCATATGCTTCTCTATACATCTTGCCATCTGGTTTATTTACCTATCCCTTTGGGGGTGTTTCATAAGCTTCTATTAGTTTGACAGCATTATCAAAAGTTTTGTGCTACCTTCTTATTGCACTGAAGTCTTATGCAACACCAGTTATTGACATTCCTTTATGTGGGTATAACATTATATTTAGCATAGATGCCCTGAGCTTCCATTCAAGATGGTGCAACAAAGGTTACAGATACATCAATCCAACCGATCAACAGAGATAGCTATCATAACACAGATCTATTTTCCAAACTTCATCGTCCATGGGATTTGAACTCTAGACCTGCCACTTAAGGGTTGACAACCTGACCATTTTACTAGGTTGTCATACCTCTTTTGTGCAAACATATTTATTTTTTAATTATTATATAAATTAATATCTTTGCCAACTATTATATAAATTAATGTTTTTGCTAATTATTAAATAAATTAATATCTTAACTATTTATTATATAAATTAATGATGCCTTTACTAATTATTATATAAATTAATATCTTTGCTAATTATTATATAAATTAATATCTTTGCTAATTATTAAATAAATAAATTTCCAGTACATGACCGAAGTAGGAATTCCCGGAAGGAGACCCAATCATGGAGCGCAGGCACTATGTGTAACAAGCGGCTGTTACAAAAGGTCACGGTTATGGAAAGATTGCACATATAAGTTCTTTAGGCTAGGGCAGCACCAACATCCCTATACCTCCTAATTAGGCAATACCAACATCTCTGCACCCAACTTGTGGGGTACTTGCTTGGAAGGATAATCATCGGATTGTGCAAATAAGTCCTAATTGGGACCCAAGGA